AATTATATATAAATTATATCTGCTTATATCTGCTTATGGCTACAATGAAGTAACAGGGGCCATATTTACACTCCCATCTTAAACAACTAGAAAACCAGTGTGCCTGCAGGTGCGCCCAGGTGACTGGCCGCAGGTGTGCCCGCAGGGGCGCCCAGCTGACTGGCCGCAGGTGTGCCTGTAGGTGCGCCCAGGTGAGCAGCCACAAGTGTGCTCCCAAGTGTGACCAAGTGAGCAGGCGTGCTCACAGGAGGGACGCTAGCCGGGCCCCGGAAATGCTTGGGCGGCGGGGGCCTCTGCTGGGCGGGTCTCTTGGCGAGCGGGATGGTGCTCACGGCCCACGCGCCCTGCCCCGGGAGGCTGCTCTGCGCCTGCGCTCCCGCGCCCAGCGCGGGCGGCGGGTCTGCGGCCGCGGGGTGCTCGGAGTATCTGTAATCGCGGGGCAGAGTCTCGGCTCGGCCGCCGCCCTCCAAGGGCAACTCTGGAGCTTCCTGAGCGTGCGACTGCTCAGGGACCTGGGGCGGCTCCCACAGGCCCCACTGCGCTCCTGGGCGGTCTTCTGCCCACTGGGCATGTGCTGGTCTAGAGGAGAAGAAACAAAAATAAGCAAACGGCTCCTGCTAATAGCTTCCCAAACCGGGACTAGACCCAGATCTTGCTCATAGGCTTACACCATGTAAGGAATTATATCCACATATACTTTTCCATACCTGCCTCCCCCCACCATTCCTAATGCAAGGTACTGAGTCCGTGAGGCTGTATCCTGGCACGTCATACAACAGGCCAGGAGATATTGAAAGACGTGCATGCATATTAGATACACACACGTTACACACAGACTCCATGTGAGGCAGAAAACAAAACTTACACGGACATTTTTAAAAACAGTGTGAAACCTCATACGCAGCTCTATCAGAAATATTTCATGTTGCCACAGTGTTTTTATGCAGCTCATTTCAGTAAATCGCCACACACAAAGGGATAGAACTTTCTAAGATTGGCCGCAACTAAATTGATTAAAACCTTTAAAATCGGTAGTGTATCATTTAAAATGAAAAACAAAACACAGACTTTCTTTTGGAAGCTGCAATAACTCATGATCTTTCCATATCCATTTCTGTCTTTCCATGATAGATAAATACATATTTACATGCAAATACATACACGCATAAATATACCTGCAGAACACATGCATGTTCCTGAGCTGCAGCCAAAGGTCACAGGCTAACTATCGAACTTGCAACAAACCAGCCAGCCATGCCTTTGCCGACACACAGCTTCTCCCAACCCGACAGAGTAATAAAACGAGCCTCTGACTCTCCCAGGCAAGGGCAGAGCTGTATCCTATTAGGAGGACAAGCTCTGAATTGTTAAGGAAATTCTAACAAGCACAGCAAGTTCAGAACCGGTAAGTAAAAGATGAAACCTTTTAACTAACGAGCCGCCTAGGACACCCTCCCCGGACACCCAGCGCCCCCTTGGGGCCCAGGCGTGCGCCTGCCTCCCGGGACACGTACCTGGCCGAGGCATGACGAATGTCTCGACCCTATCCAGGCCATGTGCTGCAAGTCAAGTGCCTTGTGCATGTATGTCCCTCTTGCTATGTCCTGAGGAAAATGGTCCCCTTCCAGGTTCAATGGACGCTCCAGAATAGAACCCACCAAATTCCCTCCCCTGGCCCCCCTTGTCAGCCAGCTGAGGCCTCACTCGCCACCCTGCACGTCCCCAAGTAGAGAGACAGGCGGACCCTGCCTCAGAGCTGCAAGTCCTCGGCATCTGGCACAGGGCCGGAGAACTCGAGTCCCACTGCAACTCTGAACGAGGGCAGGTTTGTTCTCTGCCTCCAGGAGGCTGAGGACCCAGCCTCAGCTTGGAGAACACGCTGAGACAAAACAGCCACGGGGGAGAGCTTAAAATGTTGACCTAGTTTGGGAAGTCAGATTTTTTTAAACGTGTGTATTACGTACAGACTAAGAGAAACTAGAAGTTATCAAAATAACTTGAAAGTAGCAATCACTGTTTTAGAGAACAACACAGTCGAGCAGCTGTGTGGTTACAGAATACAGAATGTGGCATTCGTACGCTGCCAGATGCTGACGGGTACGGCTCACAGCTCAATGGCCTGCGTGGAGAACTGAAGGCCTTGTCTCCCCTCCATTTAGGGCCTTGTGCCTCGTAGGACAGTGAAACCTAAGTCGTGACAATTCACAAATGCGTCCCCAAAATGTCATCTCGAAGACGTGAGCTGCGTTCGAACGTTTCCTTTTCCTCCTCCTAAAACTCTTGAGATCCAGCACCCACAGACCGACACGAAAGCACCTGTGTCTTAATACACATCCGCCACCTCACAGAAACGGAGAATTGAATTAGCTGATTTACAGCTAAAATCTAAGTGCCTTTGGCCATCTGGATTCACATTGAATGGGTTAATTAAAAAGGAGCTCAAAGTACTTTAGCCAGGACGGGCTCTGAGATCTGTGGAGAAACGGAAGGAAACTCGCCTATGGGAGCAAAGCCCCCACCCGGGAAGTAAATGGCTCCGAGAAGACGTGCTGCACAGGGCTCCCCGCTTCTGTCAGTCAGAAGGCGCCATGGGCTCCTTCCCGTCTTCCTCAGGGGGCAGAGTTTCAGGGCACTCCGTTCCCTGGGGAGCAGTGCGCGCTTCCCCCCGTGGAGATCTGGGTCACCGTGCTTCGCCCCCAAGTTTCACTTTAGATTCGCATTAGCGCAGCAACTTCCGGGCAGAGTTTGCACCCACCCCCTTATTTTTTCTTGTCTCCTGCCCCGAAATCTCCAAAGTCAAAGCCCCATAAAACCACTCATTGGTTTTTACTATCTCGGTTGATAAGAATTCAAGAAATTGGGGGCACAAAAGGACCAAAAATGGGAATTTGGGATTCTACCAATTTCTAATAATTTCCAAGTGGCCGCTGTGCAGATAATGTGGATGACATGTGTTCTGTATGTGCATCTGTATCATGCATGTTGCACGAGTGTCGTGTGTATGTGTGTGTGTGTGTGTGTGTATTCCTTTTTTTAAGGATAGTCCTTGCTCATAGCAGATCCAGAAACAGAATAAAACAGGATGACTTAAGGGTTTTGGCAGCGAAAGCAACCAAACGCCTCCTGCCACACAAAGGAAAATTAAAAAGGCAGCTGCATTCTAGAGCCGCAGAAATTGACATTCAGGTTGGGTTGGTCGTCCATTGTCGTGCAGGACATGCTAATGACATGTTACCAAGGAGAGAGCCGCTCGTGCAGCCCCGGGGGGAGGCAGGGAGGGAGGGGGGCCAGAGGGGCTCGGTGCGAGGCTGCAGGAGACGGGCAACCCCAGACCGGCCACCTGGAGCCGGGGGCCACGCTGTTCTCAGCGCACTGGCCGCCGCCAGAGGAAGCGCAGGTGAACGGTCTGCAACCAACCGGGCCTCGAAGCCAAGCCAAGCCAAGCCAAACGAAGGTGACGAAGAAAAAGCCGGAGACAGAGCCACGCGAAACGATGCTCATCTGCACAAACAGCCGATGACAGGACAGAAGGCATCATCAGTAGGCAGGAGACAGTCAGAGACGACACTTTTGATCTCGGTACGGAGCCAGCCAGCCCCGTGTCTAAATGCGGACGGCACATCTGAGAGGCGGCGTTTTATTTACGGAGGCCACGTGTTTCGCACGAGCCCCTCGCTGGACTGGTGTCTCCGGGTCTCGGCTTCCCGCCCCCGCCTCCGCCGTCTTCCGCACGGCTGGCTCCTTGTCACGCACACGCTCCGTCCCACCAGCCCTGCTGGCTCGGTCACAGCCGGCAGAGGACGTGTCGTTTGCTCCAGTTACCGGACTGTCCATATTCTCATCACGGGCTGTGCGTGCCTCTATGGCGGCTGGGGGTCCAGGATACATTCTCCAGGGCCTTGCCGGCAGGTACGTACTCCACGCACTATGTCACGCCGTCACCTGAAGGGCACTGGACACATTAAAGCATTTGTCGCTCTCGGTCACTGCACAGAATGGTAGGAAGGCAGGCCGCATTTTCTTTTCTTTTCTTTTTTTTGAGATACAGGGATTTATTGAGGTGCTCCATGAAAAAACCTTGCGTGCGAACCTTGGCAATACTTTTGTTTGTTTGTTTGTTTGTAGTTTTTGGACTGCTGCGCCATCACTCAATAAGTCACTGCTGCGTTGTAAATAGGGTTCTCCGTGATCTGCAGCACGAAGAATGTCTCACTCTTCCGGACTTCGGTGACACGCGAGGGGTCTCCTAGTCCTTGTGGAGCCAGTGACGGACAGGGACGCACAGCCCCTTCTGACGTGTGCGCACGTGTTGCTGGAGGCTGCCGCCCCCTGACGTGTTCCGGCTTCCAGGCCCCCGAAAAGCATGAGCCCACCGTGTCTGATCCGGGGTTTCGTCAGGCAGACGCTCCCAGTGACGGCACCACACCCCAGCTACACATGACGTTGGGACAGCAGTGGGGCCTCAGGAAGCTTCATTTCCTTACCTGTCTGGGCGGGCGGTCACAGGCCACGCCCCGCACGTGGGGTGGCCTCCAAGGCAGAGGTGGACAAGGGGGTGGGGTCTGTGGAGGGTCCCCCAGCAGCCAGGCGGGGCGCCGGGCATTTAACAGCGGAGGGCCGTCCTGAGCTGGAGCCGACCCAAAACAGCTGTCTGTCAGTGACACCAACACCCCACAGCACTGCGGCGCCCCCACCCCGTGCCGCCCCCAGAGCTCTGTGCAGGAACGGCCTCGTTCCAACAACAAAGGGGGAGGGCACAGAGAGCGCGAGGTGACCTTGCAGTGGATGACAACACCGAGCTATTTCCTCCTCTCATTCAGATACCACACGAAGTACTAACGTACAAAGTACACAAAACCAGCACCCCATCGACATAGCGACGCTCAGGGTGGCTGGCGTACCTCACGTGACAGCTGGGCTGCGGATCCAGAAGTACTGCCCTCGCACAGAGCCACGCTGCCGTGGACGACCCCCAAGTCCAACATCTGCTGTCTGAGGTCACCGCGTAGAAAGCACACTTTGGCTGCTTGTGGGTGTGAACAACAGTGATTCTGTGAGAAGTAGCATTATTTATTAAAAATCACGGGTGGCTTACTGGTCCTTTGGCCCAGCAGGATGTACAGGACATCACCAGTCGGGCGAGCTGGGCGCCTCTCAATTCGGCAGCAGAAACAACCCCATGACCAGCCTCCATTTACAGAGCGTCAAGAGAGCAGCAGCACCCCACCGCAAGAAAGAAAGGCCCCCTCTCCCCCAAGAGAACACAAGATGCAAACGACAATAAACAAACAAGAAACACAAATAGCTGGAGAACACGTAAAAATGCCCAACTCCGCCAGCTGGAGAAAAAGGAATTTTTTGCCAGAAAAATCACAGAATTTTTTAAATGGCTAATAGAGACAGTTTGGGGAGGAGCAGGGCCGTCCTAGGCTGCTGGCGGGCGGGGATAAACAGAGCACATGTCATGGACAGCGACTCGGGGCGATTTCCCAAAGCCTGCCTGGCAGTGCCATGCCTGGAATTTTATCCTAAGGAAATGGGCATGTGTGAGCATGAATATTTCGCTGCAAGATGTTCAC